AAGAGTGACAAGACTTTCTGGAGAATTGAATCACACAGTTCTCTAGCCCTGCTATTCTCAAATTTGTATTCATCTTTTGATCTCACCTCTCTGCCTGTTAGGAGAGTGAAAAGCAAGGAAAACACTGAAGAACTGGCTTTATATTTCCCTCACTTTTATGGGAAAATGTATACTTATTCTAGCTTGCAAGTGACCTATACTGGACTTCATAAGCTTTGGTGTTAGTAAGGGCTATTAACACATACTTGCAGTGTGCAAGCTGCTCTTCTGTTGACTGCCTCATTTTTCCCTACAGGTATCATGGCAATCCTCTTTTCTGGCATCGTGATGTCCCACTACACACACCACAACCTGTCCCCAGTTACACAGATATTAATGCAGCAGACACTGAGAACTGTTGCTTTCATGTGTGGTAGGTGCTACCTACTGTTTATAGCTAATATTCATAGTTTAAAATTTCATTTGCACGAAATGGTGGTTCTGATGGAAGCAGCAGAATTTTCATCTAGCCATTTGTATGTCAGTGGGACATGTCTCTGAGAGAAGAATTCCTAATTGTGGAGGGTGACAGGCAGTCAAAAGTCACCTTTCCTGCCATACTGGATAATACATACAGTTAATCTCTCTCCCATCCTGCAGGGTCCTACTAAGATTTGCCAGAAGAGTGATAACTGGATAGAGAGCTCTGATTTTTTTTATTCCTCTGGTCTATATTTAGTTTTAGGAGATGAATTTTTAGCAGTATTTTTTTAAATGGGTTTGGATATAAAAATCTACTTGCAAAAATACCTTCACAATTTGAGAAGTTGTTTTTGGAAGTTGTGATACAAGCAGCTCAGAGTCCCATAGCCTGTCCATTTTCTTTTGCAAGCCAAGCTTTTGAATAAATATCTTGCTTCTGAATTATAAATATATCCCTGTTTTTTAGGGGATGTCACAAATGTGTTCTGTACTGTTTGCCAGAAGCTGAATTTGGAACATGGTCAGGGAGCAGCAGCCTTCCTGCAAACTAAATTTAATCCCTCATTGCCCAAGCACCAGTAACTCATCAGGATTTGGTCTTAATCTATTACAAATGCTAAAAACACACATTCATTCAAGTCACTGTAAAGGAACTATCTAAGGTTCTGTGCCATTTCATACATGTTTGCAGCAGGTTTTGAACATGCAAATACAAGTAGCCAGTACCCAAAGCACGAGCAACCTTCTTGTGCCACAGTAACTCAGGAATTGCTAGTGTCTGACCAAAACCATCCTGTTTTTAACTGCCATGATGATAAGAACCTACCTTGCTAGGACAGCAGGGACCTGATGAAATGTCTCAACTCTAATGGCAACAGGTTGGTGCTGTGGAAATAAAATGCTTGGATTAGGGCATCCATGGTGCAGTGGTGGTGCTATTGCAGATTTGCAGACATCACTTCTAGAGGCTGCTAGAATAAACGTCAGATCATACAGCGCAGTGTTATGTTACACAAAGCCATGAACTGCTGCCATTTATAAGGATTTAATGAATTGAGCACTTTCTAACAGCATTCAACTTGCAATATATGAGATTATATATAAAACTGCCATGTCAGGTACAATCTGATTGAAAGCTACAGAATTTGTCAGTAGGCATTCTTGTAGCTTGTGTTCTGCAGCTTGTCTGTCCTAGATCCCTCAGGTAAAATATTCCTCAGCCTTTAGAACAAGGTTTTGCTGGATTTATTCATACTCAGTCATTTACAGCTAAAAAAAGCCTACACACACAGACTAAGGTGCTGTCCTCTGACAGTGGGAGTGGAATAACCTGAACCTGGCGTTTTGCATCAGAGCATTTGTGCCTATTTTGTTCATTCAAAAGTTAGGAAATAGTTTTTTATATACTCTATGTAGTAACTCATAAGAGAAGTACAAAAGCTTCTATAGAGTTGTTTAAAGTGTGATTTCTCTTTTTCAGAAACGTGTGTTTTTGCATTTCTTGGCCTGTCTATTTTTAGTTTTCCTCACAAGTTTGAGATGTCCTTTGTCATCTGGTGCATAGTAGGTATTTACTTTCTTCCATACTTGTTTAAATGCATTTTTAGTATTGGGGAGGGGCTAAACACCTCAGTTAAAATATTTTAGAATAGTTATGTTTTATAAGTTTTATAAGTTAAACTCTAATAGCATGAAATTATTGTTGCTGTTCTCAGCACTTTAGTGTACAAATGTATCATTTGTTAAGGAATTCCAGTTTGCTGCTATTTTGAAGCCCTTCTGTACAAGATTATTAAAAACAAGGAAAAAACCTTGCTTGTTTTGACCCTATTAGATTTATTAAAATCAAAGAAATCTCAAAGGATGTTGAAAATATACATGCCACTTCATTTCAAAAGTCGTGTTATCAGAAACCAACCCCCCAAGTTTTTAGGTATCTTTAGCTTCATGTGAACAATTAATGAGAATGAATAGTTCATAGAAACTACAAAGCTGGTATCAAAGTCTGCTTCATTTCATCTCTCCAGAACTACAGCTTTTGAGTCTCTCCTCTCTCATATATCATTGCAGGGTTTTTTTAATACAAACTAATTTATCCTTCCATCACTTCTCCACTCTGAGCTCACCTTCTTCAGAGGAAGTCCTTACTCCAGTTGACTCTTAATTCTTTCATTCTGTATTTCACTGTAGCTTTATGTAGTGACACTTCAAGTTTCAGTGGGGGTTACTGATCTCTTTTGCTATTCTAATTGTTTATTATAGGCATGAAAAGTATATTCTCTTTTGCAGTCCAAAGAGGGACAAGTGAACCCATTTCCAGTCACGTACAGCAACACATACCAGCACATTTTAGTCCATGGTTCAAGGGAAGAATTCTTATCTACAGTTTACAGATAGTGGTATCAGCATGGGGAACTGTTCTTACTGCATTACACCCAACTCCCTTATCTGCTATATATCCAAGGTGTGACACTTCCTTCTGTGTAGCATTGTCCTCACAGGCGTCATGCAAATTGCATAATTTTGGGGTGATTCATAAAGGAAAACAGCACAGCCCTTCAAGGATCCTGCTGACTAATTCTAGGATATTTACCTTATCAAGGTCTGTTTGTGGTGGAGCTTAAAAGCAATGCCATTGTGAAAACCTTTTCTGAGTTAAAGTTTTCACTGTGTGTGTTAATTCCCTGCTCTTAAATCAATAGTGCTTTGGGGTTTTTTTGCCCCTCTCTCAAAGTGTTGCTTCAGTGTGTTGTGTATTTTACAACCCTAGCCAGGGAGGTGTTGAGGAACCTGATTACATGCTGCTTGTTTGGCTTCTGGCCGCTCTCTCTGAGAAACTGGTCCATGGAGAGACAACAGAAATATCTTATTGCCTCTTAGCTGCTGCACCAAGGGAATGATTAAAGGAGCTGAAATGAGGAGAACTTTTACCCAAAGTAATTCTTAGTGTCCCTGGAATGCCTCTTGGGCTTCATTTATTGAATATAACTAAGTAGTGTCTGGTCTCTGTCAGTGACAAGTCTGGTTTAGCTTCAGTTAAGCAGGCAAAATGTTTAAAAAGTTAAATTCCACACTGACCTATGCTGAGAGATTTCTTGATGTTAGTTTAGCAACACCACCTACTTGCAAGGCTTAGGAGTGAAAAGAACATTCACCTTTACCCTGTACAAACCAGCTGCAATGGATATAACACATCAAGTGGCCTTTGATTTCTGTTTTTCAGGTGCTTGTTCTGTTTGGTAGAGCAGTGAATATTTTCCCACTTTCCTACCTACTCAACTTTTTCCGTGATCACAAAATCACCCCCAAAATGATGTTTATCATGTGGTTTAGTGGTAAGTTAAAGCTCAAAGCACAGAGGACTGGGAAAAAAAAAAGTTCTGGGAGGGGTTGGTTTTCTATCAGTGGAGCAAAAATCAACTGAACATTTGCACCATTCTCAAACCCAAGTGCAATAGATATGTTCTCTTTCCCCTTTCTGCCAGAGGACCATTCAGTGGCAATCCCCACTAGAGCTTTTCTGCAAAGAGTCTGCTTTTCAATCTAGGTCTAACAACTTCACCATTTGAAAACCAGTATCTGAAGAGCCCAAATTAGGGTGGCAATCAAATGACAGGCCCATGGTGCATGATCATAAAAACCTCTTAAAGGTGGAGAATTCCTGTGACCAGGGTGTTGGTTCACTCTTCATTGACTTGCTGTTCTCTCTGGTAAGGATTACGTGGAGCAATTCCCTATGCCCTCAGCCTCCATCTGGGCTTGGAACCCATCGAGAAGCGGCAGCTGATCGGGACAACCACCATCATCATCGTGCTGTTCACCATCCTGCTCCTGGGGGGAGGGACCATGCCCCTCATCAGGCTGATTGACATTGAGGACTCCAAAGCACGCAAGAGGAACAAGAAGGACATTAATCTCAGCAAGACAGAGAAGATGGTTTGTTGGAGTTTTGTATTGAGAGGATCACTGAGGGGGGGGGTTGGATTTGAATTTTTATGTTTTCCAACAGTCATACATTGTTGGGTTTTTTACTTAAAGTAAAATGAAAGCAATGGAAATGTGGCAGGAAAAGGCCAAGCAATATAAGCTTAAAATACCTCAAAGACAGAGCTTGGTTAGTGTTTACACATAATAACTGGGCAAAGGGAGGAGAATTAGTCTCTTAACTCAATCTAATTATAAGATGATTCGTACAAATTAAAGTAACCCCTGCAAAAGCATAAAGCAGATGATACAGGATTGAGTCATTTACAGAGGGAGAGTAGCTGGTACAGTGTGAGTCATGAATTAACCATAAAAGGCAGATGGAAATCATTTTGAAAAAGTCAATGCAAAGGCCATGAGAAGGTGGTAAAAACAGCACCCTCTGGGTTTTATTTTAAAGCTATTTTTGGCTAAGCAAGAGTACTGAAGAAAACAGCCTGTCTGACTCCTCATGTGAAAAACACTGGAGTACATAAAGTATCCCAGAGCATTTGCCTATTTTTCCCCAAACCCTCAAATAATAAATGCAGGGTATTGTTGTGTAGGATCTGAAGAACAGCTTTTCTTTTGGCATGAGGTTTTGAAAAGCTTGTAGTTTTTAATATTATCTTATTCTGTCCACGTAGGGAGGTGTGTATAGGAAGAGCACAGGGATAGGCTGCATTTTCAGTGAGACAATGACATTAGTGTTGCTTGCTGGACAAAATCATTGTCCAGCTCACAAGAGAAAACCTGCGTGCTAGAAATCTGCTCTCAGCAATAGTGTCAATACAAAATATGGAACATTTGAAGTCTTTTACCCTTCAGCAG